GTAAGTGTAGGGATTGTGACCCACGATTCTGTAGTTGCGGTGGGCCTTGAGGTTTGGGCTTCGGTAAGTGTAGGGCTTGGACGGGCTTAGGGTTTAGGGGTTTAGGGGTTTAGGGGTTTAGGGTTAAGGGCTTTGGGTTTAGGGTTTGTTTAGGGTATTGTGGTTATAATAAAGGCTAATATGGGTTACAAATGTTCATTTTTGATATAGCTCCAACTAGGAACCAGGATTGTTTGGGATTGTGAGGGTTGGAAGTTAGGGTTTTGGGGGAACGGGTTGGGGTTTAGGGTTTAGGGGTTTATGTTTGTCGTCAGGGTTTGTTGTCGCTGGAGGCTTTGGGGGGCCTGAGGGTGCAAGGTTTGGAACTTGGGGGTTGTGAGTTTCTGGTCTCCTAATCAGTTTCTGAAACCAGGTGGTAGAGCTTGAAAACCCAGTCAGTTGATTCTTTTGCCACGTGCGATTCGGTGCCGTTTTGATAGTCTTGACTTTCGACGGCGAGTGTACCAAACTTAAACCCTAAACCCTAAACCCGAAACCCTAAACCCTAAACCCCTCACGCCAGTCTTGAGGTCGCGGATCACCTGCGATCTTTGCTCGCGGCTGAGACTTTCTTCGGCAGTTCTTGCACTCGAGTCCTCTTACCTGGAGGCCCAGGGCAGTTAGTAAGTAGGTTGTAAGTAGAGTTATAAGTACCCTAAATGGAGTTACCCTAATTATTATCCTACTTATAGCCACATTAGAAAGGGCCCTGGGCCCTACAGGAGTTTGGGGACCATCGTAAGCCTTTGTAGAACCTCTGAAGATTCTATAAAGGGAGCCCTGAGCCCCAAAACCCTACCCACCCCCCACTATAAACCCGAAACTCTAAACCCTAAACCCTACATCCGAAAAGGCACCCAGTAAGACACCTCCATAAACCCCCGTTGCAACCCTTACGAAGCGCTATAACAGCCATGGCTAAGCATACCAGACCCTACGACAATCTTACGAAATTTAAGAAAAACCCTATGGACATCCATAAAACACCCATGAAAACGCCTCAAAAACCTATGACAAGCTTAAGGAAACTCGCAAGACACCATGCTAAACCCTAAACCCTAAACCCCTGAACCCTCTGGAAAACTCGAAGAGAAGCCCGAGGAGCACCTTATGAGAACCTTATACGACAACCCTAAAGGAAAAGCCTATGAAAACCATGAAGTTTAGGGTTTAGGGTTTAGGGTTTGGGGTTTAGGGTTTAGGGCTTAGGAAAAAATGGGAAACCATAGTACGCCATACGACCCTATGAATAGCCCTAATTATGAACAAACCTGATGGGCACCCTACGACAACCTTATGAAAGCCGTTCCATGAAAGCCCTATGAACACCTACGAAAGGCTTACGAACACTCGATGACAAGCTTACGAAAAGCTTATGAAAGCACTCAAAACCCTAAACCCTAAACCCCTAAACCCTAAATCTTAAACCCCTAAACCCTAAACTCCTAAACCCTAAACCGCTAAACCCTAAATTTATGATCCTTTTATGCAAGCCCTCAAGAGATTTCTCAGGATCTCCCGGGAGTCGACGGCGAGGCTCCAAAAGTTCGAGGCTCTCCGGGAAGTGGCCGCGAAGATGTATATATTATATATCTATATGTATGTATATATATATATACATATGTATGTATATACACTTATATACATATGTATATATATATATATATATGGATTATGTGTGTATTGGGTTCAGGGTTTAGGCAGGGTTATATAGATATACACACGCACCACACGCAGACACAAACGCTTGTTTATTTACATTTGTTGCTTTGCATGTTTTTTGTGTTTTATTTTCGATCGTTTTTTCCAACCATTGTTTTGATACCTTTAGCGAATGTGTCTTTCATAGCGCCTATGCTTTTGATCGGGGCTAGGTAGATTCTAAATGTAGAAGTTTTAGCAGCATTTGTTTGCAGACCTGACATCCTTCAAACGCCCAGGCCCAAAACCTCCCCCCCTGCAACCCGATTTCTTGAACACCAAAACACTAATCCCCAAACCCTAAATCCTAAACCGTCAACCTAAAACCCGAGACCGATTTTTCCAGTTGGGCTCTCTGTGGGCTTTGCGATTCCTCCCGAAGCCCAAAGCCAAAGATCCCAGTGTCCTGAAATCACTTGGATGCCTTGGTTATTACGATAAAGATTTCCGTGGTACGTACAGTAACATTAGAAACCCTAATGCCTGGACTGCGCGGAGCTAGAATTGAAGGAGTTCGTGTTGTGGGCATCATGGGTGGGATGAGACTAGCCGTGTTGCACAGTCGTACCATTGCAAGAATACTTATCCGCCTGTGCTGCCACCAAGAAAACACCAGCAACCCTAAACCCTAAAGCCTAAACCCTAAACCCTAAACCCTAAGCCCTAAACCCTAAACCCTAATGCCTAAACCGAACTTGGAGCCAGCCGTTGAACCCAACATGTAGCTCGCATGCATACGCAGGCCGTGGATACTGTTGTCGGGGCCCCAATGGCAGGCAATTCGGTGGTTCGGCTACTTCTGAGTGCAAGGTGGCGCGACCGTGCAAGTAAATATACATATACATAATAGTGCGAGTGTAAAGACCGGTTTAGATGTACAGACGGATACTGCAAGTATAAGTGGACGTGAATCTGAACATGCATTTGCGTGTTTCTTCTTGTTCGGCCTGGCATGTGGCTTCTGGCACTGATTGGCGGCCAAGTTGGGCTTAAAACCCCTAAACCTGAAACCCCAAACCTAAGCCCTGAGCTCAACAAGCCGCAGCAACCATTGCAGCAAGCTCCGCAAAGTAGAAAACTGGAAGAAGCGCGATGGGAGCAGGTATTCCGTATAGTTTGCCTTTGGGACATGAGGATATGAGTTTCCAACTTTATGCATGTTACCGTCTAGTAACCATGATAGCAACCCTTTCAGGACCCGTTCCCCTAAACCCTAAACCCTAAACCCTAAATCCTAAGCCCTAAATTCCTAGACCCTAAGCCGCTAAATCCCAAGCTCTCAAGCACATGGCGGTCCCTTGGTCAGAGGCCTCAAAAGGTGGGATAAAGGTAGGTGGGACATTCCCAACTACGAGTCTTTACACAAGGGATCCTTAATCCTACCTACCTTCATCCCACCTTTTGAGGCTTCCGACTTTCGAGTCTGGAGGTTGCTGTTGTACGGTGAGCCCCTTTTCAGATGGCGTTCTCTAGAACCTGGCGTTTGCAGTTTAGGGTTTAGGGTTTAGGGTTTAGGTACTCGTAGGGTGAAAAGTCTTTCATGTAGTAAGTGCATGAGGTACAGCAAGGGCAGGAAATGCGCACATGACCGAACGACGGTTGAAGGTTTAGAGCAAGTTTAGGGTTTAGGGTTTAAAGGTAGAACTGGCGTGGTTCTACCATGTACCCTCAACCCTAACCCATATCCGGATTCGCACATCTGCTCAAAGGGCACGAACAGACCTAATGGAGGAGCCTGAATCAGAAGCGCTGGCTGTAAATCTTCCCAGTAAAACGATGCAGGTTAAACGCTGCTACTACTACTGCGACTACTACTGCTACTACTACTACTACTACTACTACTACTAAAGGGAGCACAGCAAGGATCAAGGCGCCTTTTGGAAATGTTGAAAAGGCTGTCAACCCAAGCCCTGAAGCTCTACCGCCCTAGACATAACTCCGTGTTGCGGTTGACTCTGTAACCCGCCCTAGACTTGCGAAGCCCTTAACCCCCCCTAAACCCATAAACCCCTGAACCCCTAAACCCCTAAACCCCTAAACCCCTAAACCCCTAAACCCCTACACCCCTAAACCCCTAAACCCGTAGCCCTGGTTAGTTAATCCAGGGCTCGGGCTTGGGGCTGCGGCTTTG